CCTCTACATTACAGTCACCAAAGAAACCAATATAAGCATGACATTCACTTTCCTTTCATTTAGTCATAATTAAATCCACAGAGGAGGTTATAAGAACCATTCTGTATGCAAATATCATTGAATGAGGCTCGCTTCATTCCCCTAGAAAAATCGCAGATCCAGGTATTTGATTCTTGCATGCATGCACAAAAGGTTCAGCCTTGGGTGATCTTGTTATATATTTAATGGATATAAATTAAGATAATTAAACCTAAAACGATGACTAATATGCAAGTTCAAACTTAGAATTTTAAAGACTGGAATACAGCAGAAAAATCACATTGTCTTACTTTATATTGTGTATTTTCCTTGCCACAACAGTTGGAAAGTCAACTTCAAAGAACTTCCGTGGCATGAGGTTTTCATCCTATAACACATATAAACACACAAGATTAGCAGTAAGTTTTTTGAGGGCAAATAGAATGCAGTCACGTCACAACATGAGACATGATTAAAGTCACAGATTAATGAAAATCTGATTTAGAGCAAGCTGATTGCTTGCAAACCTTTAGCCTCCAAAATGTGGTATCCAGTCCAGCACCCAGGTTGATGACTTGACAGTCACACTGTGTTTTCCTTAGAAACGCATCGAGGAGGTGGTTCACTCCCTGCACACGGGCGTAGTAACCTGTCAAATCACATGAGACATGCAAAAGCTAACTAAACTGTACAACAAGTGTTATGAGCTGGTTATATTTCACCAGCTTATATGTTAAATTACAAATTATGAAATTATATTACAAATACTACACAGAGATTGTCCAACAAGCTATAAAAGGCCACGTGCTTTTAAGGAAAGCTGCTTCATTACTTGCCTCTGTTGATTTCGGGGGCTTTTCGGTCTCCTACAGATCTTACAAAGTATTGGATATAAGGGTCCTTCCAGTAGCCTTTACTGGTAGCAAACCTATAACATAGATTTTATATACTACATGAAGCTGTGTCATACATTCAAAGCCAGATTACTCATTGAAATATTAAGTGGATGCTTATGATAGAAACCCACAAACAATACTACTAAACAGCCTCGTTGTGTCAACAACAACCAGAGAGGAGTTTCTGTATTTCGATGGTGTTGCTGTAAATAACGATAGCATTGAAATATCAGGGTAACTGACTCATGCAGAATGAGCTTTAGCCTTTGACTTCTTCGCCTTACGTTACCTTTACTGACTCCAAATGATGTTGTTACCTTTTGCATGTGGTTGCATCGTCACACGTCGCCCTCACTGCTTCATCGGCAGTGTCCGTGTCTGTGAAGAGTTGCCGAGCTGCCATTGGTGATTCCCGTCCTGCTGCTCGTCCACCTGCTGGGCTCTGGTTACCTGCTATAAGCTAACTAGTAAAACTGCAGAGAAAACACCGCGAGCGTAGTCGGGAGGCGGAAGTCCTGGTGAAAAGCCTGCAAGTTACGAGATGGCAGAAATAATAACCGGTACGTAACGAGGTTATAAATATCGCTGCCTATTTACAAACTACTTGGAGCTGAAAATGTATGAATAAACAACTGCCCGGAAGCAAAATATAATCACCTCCGGCTTGGGTTTGCTTTTCAGATTAAGAGTACTACAGGTGCTCTTATTTTGAAAAAGGAGGAAATAAACCTCGAGAGGTTAAAGGGGGGAAAAAGCAACGCAGAATTCTGCAGTACTTTTGTGCAGTACTGCAAATGTTAGTATTGATCATATACCAAATAAATAGAGGGTCAGTACAGACAATACCAATACCAACATTAATACCTTTAACGTATAACGACCACTTATGCAGGGGAGAACGGTGTGTCGTGATTTATGAGATGAATCATCACCAATTAGCACATTTT